CCGTTCCCGCGGCCCCCCGCCCTGCTCCTGTGGCCATCACACACTGCATAGACCGCCTGTCCCCCGGTCACCCGCCCTGCTACTGCGACCATCCCACACTGCATAGACCGCCTGTCACCCGTCCTGCTCCCGCGGCCGTCACACACTGCATAGACCGCCTGTCCCCCGGTCACCCGCCCTGCTCCCGCAGCCGTCCCACACTGCATAGACCGCCTGTCCCCAGGTCACCCGCCCTGCTCCCGCGGCCGTCACACACTGCATAGACCGCCTGTCCCCCGGTCACCCGCCCTGCTCCTGTGGCCGTCACGCACAGCATAGACTGCCTGTCCCCCGGTCACCCGCCCTGCTCCTGTGGGACCACCTGTCTCCTGGTCACCCACCCTGCTCCTGTGGCCGTCACGCACTGATAGACCGCCTGTCCCCCGGTCACCCACCCTGCTCATGTGGCCGTCCCACACTGCATAGACCGCCTGTCCCCTGGTCACCCGCCCTGCTCCTGTGGCCGTCCCTCACTGCATAGACCGCCTGTCTCCCAGTCACCCACCCTGTTCCTGCGGCCGTCCCACACTGCATAGGCTGTCTGGCCCCCGATCACCCAGCTGGGGTCCTGCTAGCCCTTCCCCCTGCGAGCAAAGCCCCAGTCCTCAGGCGCACCCTGCAATGTTCCCTCTCATTTTTTTCGACCTGTTTGAAGAATAAATTTTGTTCTGTGCACCAAAGCACGTGTGGATGTGCACCACCCAGAGAAACCTGCTGCTGGCAGGGGGTGCTCGGCTAATCAGCTGGGTGGCATTTGAATGTCTCCTGGGTAGCCGCCCAAACGCTCAGCTTACAGGCAACAGAAGCGCCCTGCCCCCCTCCCGGGAGAATCAGCCTTCTCAGCGCACTTGGCAGCGCCCCATTAAGCACTCGAATCACGGCTGATGCAAAGCCCAAGCACTGCGGGAAGAAGCTCTCCCAGGCCCACATGGAGCCCGCGGGTGACCCCTGCCTTCCCTGGCAGGGTGATCCCTACAGGTCCCCCCATGCAGCGTCACTTGAATGCACACGGCCTCCCCAGTCTCCACCCCAGCACCTTGCACGGAGCTGACTCGGGTGTGGGCGCCACTGCCCTCTACAGGACAGAGCCAGAACTGCTCTCCTGCGTCTCATAGACCCCGCACAGTGCCAGGACTGGAGGAGGAGGTGCGCGCGGTCCCTGTGGCCAAGGCCACCCACCAGTGGAGCACCATGC